CCCTCCCTCCCTCCCTTCCTTCCTTCCTTCCTTCCTTCCTTCCTTCCTTCCTTCCTTCCTTCCTTCCTTCCTTCTTTCCTTCTTTCCTTCCTTCCTTCTTTTTTATTCTCATTTTGCCTGTCATTTTAGTTGTGGTACTTTCTAGAAATATAAGAAAAAGTTTAGTGACCTCGTGATGCTTTTCAAAATACTTTCTGGAATTATACCCAAGGACATAGAAAGAAAGAAAGAAAAGAAAAGGGGAAGAAGGAAGAAGGAGAGGAAGGAAGGAAGAGGCAGGTGGTACTATAAAGTAAAAATTTAAATGAAGATATAAAATAAGACTCCCCAAAAGCAATTGTTTATTAATATCTAAGATGGGGAGAGCCATATTTTGAAGAATTTGGTTTGAGACCTGGGAAACAAAATGGCACAGAAAATTTCTAGTCAATGAATTTGGTGTCCACAATGCTAGTCATACAATTTGCTTATTTCCCTCTCCAGTTGTTTTCCTATATGAAATAGGCCCTTTAACTAAAGTAGGTATAGCTGTGCATTTTCTTCTTACAAAACGTTTTCCTTTTTAGAGTATTATTATTTTCCTTCTAAATCTTGTAAATATTACTAGCATTTTTCATTATTAAAAAAAAGAATGGTACCATAGGAAGAGCTGATACTGATGAAATTACAGATGATATAAACAAAGATATTTGCTTATGAGAGGATAGTAATTGTGTTTCATAGAATTTTAAAAATTAATTCTGTTTATGCATTTAAGATCAATTCTATAAAAGATGTGCAAAAATAGGTTTGGAATTACAAATTACAAGACTTATCAGCAGTTAAATTTCAGGCAGTTCTATTAAAAATTGATGAGCAGATAATTACTGTCTGGAGTCGCAATTGCATCTTATGGGAAGCAGTTATAAAGACAGAGTCAGATGAAGATGGTGGTCCTTTAGGAATAATTAAATACTTATGAGAAATAGAGTTTTCCAGCTCTTTCTAGGAGGCTGCCTTTTTGTAGTATTAGGAATGGAACATTTTATAATTTTTCTGGACAGAAGATCTAGCTAAAATATGATTGAATAATTGAAAATATTAACATTTTAAGTTAAGTCTCACCCCACTCAATTTGGTAATTTGTATCAAAAGCCTTAAAAATAACTTAATAATTCTTCTATTTGTATGTCATCCTAATATACTTGCATAGATTTTATATAAATATCTTCATCACAACATTTCTTTCAGCCAAAAATTAGGGGAAAAACCCCATAAATGTCTAATAATATGGAATCGATTAGATATATTTTGGTATAGGCATATATTGACATGTTATTCAGTCAATAAAAAGGATCTTGAGGAATGACTCTGAAGGATGTATATGATATACCCTTAAGTGAGGAAAGATAACAGGTTACAAAATATGTACCTTATGATCCGTATTTTATAAGAGTATATGTATATGTATATGTATGTCTGGAAGGACAAATGTATCAAATTGTTATCTCTGAGATTTTGGGTGTATTTTACATATCTTTTTATATAAAAGGTAGCATACCTTAAACACAGTTTTCTTCCTTGCTTTTCTCACTTAAGTATATATCTTGGAGGACTTTCCATGTTCAAAGCATAGAGAATGTCCACATACATACCTACTGCTATGGTCTGAATGTTTGTGTCCTCCCAAAATTCCTATGCTGAAATCCTAAGCCGCAAGCAGATGATATGGGAGAGTGGGGTCTTTGGGAGGTGATTAGATCACAAGGGTGGAGCCTCATGAATGGGATTAATGCCTTTATAAAAGAGACCCAAGGAAGATCCTCACTCCTTCCGCCATGTGAGGACACAGCAGAAAGACAACTGGCCACCTGTGAACCAGAAAGCAGGCCTTTAGCAAACCCAAAATCTGCTGGCATCTTTATTTTGGATTTCTCAGCCTCTAGAACTATGAGAAATAAATTTCTGTTGCTTATAAATGGCTCAGTTTATTATATTTGGTTTAACAGGCAGAACAAAGACACACAAACACACACCTTTGATTAGCTACATAATACTCATGGTATGCATGGATATTCTACAATGCAATGAGTCACTATTGATTGCCATTTGAGTTGTTTCCAATATTTTGCTAACACAAAGAATTACAGTATCAATAACCTTGTATACATGCCATTTAGTACATCTGCAAGTTTATCAATAGGATAGCTTCCTATTGATAGTCAAGCATTTGTTCACTTGTAATTTTGATAGAGGTTGTCAAATTTCCCTCCTCGAAGGTTGCTCCAGTTTATACTCATGCAATTCAGGCTGTATAAGTGTGCTGATTTCCAACAGATGATATCACCAAAAGATGATATCATCTAATTTTTGGAATTTTCCCAATCTCATAGGGGAAAATAATGTCAGTATATTTTTAACTTGCATTTCTCTTATTATGAATAATGTATAGTATCTTTTCATATGTTTAAAGTCCACTTATATATTTATTTTTGGCAAAGTAGCCATTCAGATACTTTGTACATTTTTCCTAATGGGTTGGTGGTATTTTCCTTTTGATTTTAGGATTTCTTTATATAGAGGAAAATTACTCCTTTCTATGATATAAGTTGAAAATGTTTCTATCAGTTTGACGTATTTTCCTTTTTTCCTTTTGTTTTCCATGTAGAAGTTTTTTAAAAAAAATGTGGTTTAATTTATTTTTAATTTATTATTATTTTTTAACTCTTTGTGTGAATGTTTTATTTTTCAGTTTAATTTTTAATAAGTAATGTATGCAAAAAGAAAATTCAAAAGTTACTAGAGGGTGTATGATGAAAAGTCCCTCATCACCTGCCTCTCAGTTTTTCCCCACTAAGCCAATCATGGTTGACTAATACATTGTTACTAGTTTCTTGTTTATCGTTGCAGAGCTATTTTAGGCATTTATAAACATATATCTATTTTTTCCACTGAAATGATATACTACGTACAATATTCTGCACTTCACTTTTCCCTCTAATTTATCTTAGACTTTTTTTTATATCAGTAAAAACCCTTCCATTATTTTAAGAGCTGCAGTTTATTCCACTGTATGGATGTACCATGGATATATTTAACCATACCCTTTAATTTTATGGCTTCTGGATTTTGAGACATAGAAAGGTTTTCCTCACTCTGGGTCCCCGCCCCCCCTTTAGGCATCCTCCAATTTTTTCTATAAGTATTTTATAATTTTATTTTTTGCACTTCTTTGACCTATGTGGAATTCATTATGCATGTGGTGTGAGATACAGATACAATTTTTTTTGTATGCTTTCCAGATGGCTACAGAGTTGTCCTATACCATTTATGGAATAATCCATCTTTCCGTCACTGATTTTAGATGTCACCTTTATCAAAGTAACTCTTTTT